TTCTCAATCTGTCTTTGCTTTTAGAAAAGACACGATTGTCAAATCCGGGCACTCGATGCACGGGGAATTTTATCCCGAAGCCTGAGTAGGGATAAGTCAACGCCTAACACGCGTTGCCGGGTAGTCTATTCCCGTGAGAAAGACGAAGTCTATGTATTCAAAATCATAGCATTAAGTCTAAGAGAAGCAATTCTCTTAGCACAACGTTACATGTGAAACGGGTTTTAATAATTCACATGCTAGCCCGATTCAAACGGTAATCGGTAAAGGCACATCAAACCCGTTGATGGCTGGGGGTTTGCCAAAAATCCCAAAGCCTATGTCTAACACACATGGCCGGTTAGTCTTTGACCGTAAAAAGGACAAAAGACCACATATTCAACATTGTGGCAGGTTGTTATTAATAACACCATAATCCGTGCCTCACACGCACGGGGAATTTTATCCTGAATCCTAAGTAAGGATAAGTCAGCGCCTAACACGCGTTGCCGGGTAGTCTATTCCCGTGAGAAAGACGAAGTCTACGTATTCAATATCGTAGCACTAAAAGGGTTAACTCTTTTAGCTTAAACGTCACATAGGAGCGGACTTAAACAATCCGCATGCTAGCCCGACTCAAACGGTAGTCGGTAAAGGCTAATCAAATCCGTTGAAGGCTGGGGATTAGCCAAAAATCCTAAAGTCAACGCCTAACACGCGTCGCCGGGTAGTCTATTCCCGTGAGAAAGACGAAGTCTACGTATTCAATATCGTAGCACTAAGAGCGTTAACTCTCTTAGCACAACGTCACATGCGGAACGGACTTAAACAATCCGCATGCTAGCCCGACTCAAACGGTAGTCGGTAAAGGCTAATCAAATCCGTTGATGGCTGAGGATTTGCCAAAAATTCTATAACTGCGAGTCATTGACGCATCAACTCCCCTAGTTGGTCTCGTGACTCGAGCACCCAACAAATTCGGGACAAAATCCACACATGCAGATGAATCAACTTTAACAGTTGGTCCTGCAACCCCAACATTCGGGACCGCGATGCTCCAATACCTTAAGAGCTTAAACTGTGTATACTCCAGCAAACGTACGAGTATAAACTGTGTTAATGGCGATTTGTAAACCCTAGGGACAACGCCGGTCAACGCGTAACCCTAGGTCAACGCCAAGCAACGCGTTGCAACAAAAGTCAACGTTCGACGATTCAAACCCTAGGGGTGGACGCCGGTCAACGCGTAGCCCTAGGTCAACGCCAAGCAACGCGTTGCAAACGAAAGTCAACGTTCGACGATCCGAAACCCTAGGGTGGACGCCGGTCAACGCGTAACCCTAGGTCAACGCCGGTCAACGCGTTGCGATAAAAAGCCAACACACGGGGATCCGAAACCCTAAGCCAGCACAATGTGGCGGAGGTAGTTCAAAGTCAACTCAATGACACGAGCCAAACTCAATTCATCAGCTGCACACTCGAGACTCCGACGACGGCCAAGCGATAAACGCAGCGCCGGAAGAACCTCGGCTATTCGTCAAAGCATCGAATAGATCGAAAATCGAAAGAGTCAAGAGTTGAAGCTAACTACGCCGACTGAAGGCCAGATCAATCACATCCAAAGTATTCCAGCCTCTTCTATAAAAGAAACGAGTCAGGAACACTTTGGAGGGGGTATCTGTAGGCATCAAAAATTGCCTATAGTTCTCCACAACCGGTTCAGTGTTAACGAGCGACGATGAACGTCACCATCCAATCCACATGAGCCTAATCGACGTCGACGAACGACTGAAGTGAATCGACGAGTTACATGAGCGGATAGGACTTCGGAATCACGAAGACCCGGACCAATCGGGAAGCCCGGCACTGTTCACAAAAAGGACAACGCCCTTCATGCCTCGACCACTCTACAGATAATCCAATCACCAGAGCGGGTCAAACTCTTCGTCGCGCATCCAACGCACCCGGAATCACTCAAATCCGAATCCGGACGACGAATCAACCGCGAGTCAACGGCGGGACAACGGCAGCGCCCCGGGCTGAACCGGGGACACCCAAACAAGTTCCGGCAGGCTCGAGACACCCCCAAGGGCGTTATCTCGGCCAATAGCCGAGACACCCCTAAGGAGTGTCTCGGCCACAACGCGAGACACCCATGGGGGGGTGTTCGCCGTGGCGAGACCACCCCATGGGGGGTGTCTCGGCCATGGCCGAGACACCCCAAGGGGTGTCTCGGTTTTGGAGCCGAGACACCCCCCTAGGGGGTGTCCTCAACCAGCCCCTACCCCCCTTTGTTTTCCTATAAATAGGCCCCTAGGGCCTCCATTCTCTTGGCCTTGGTTTTGGGAGAGAAATTTCAGATATAGAGCTTTAGCCTTTGAGATCTGAAATTCCAGAGAGGAGCGGCGAAGCCCTGCCGGAGGAAGGAGTCGGGGTTTTCTAAGAGAGCGACGAAGCCCTGCCGGATCGAGGAGTGAGCGAGCCTTCTGCAGCAAAGGAGCCTCCTTCTTCATTCCCCTTTCTATTTTCCTTAGTGTTCCCCCTTAGCGGTGATACTAAGTAGAGCGAATATCTCGATTATCCGAGATAGGAGCTGTAAACTTCTAGATCTCACGCAGATCGACGAAGTTCAGAGTTTCTAAAATCCCCCCCGCGGATAGACGAAACTCTGCCCGATTTTCTCGGACCAGATCTGAGTGCCCCGGTGGTCCACGGATATCAACATCCCCGTCACAGGCAAAAGACCCACGCAAGCAAGAGATGACAAACAGATCTTGCGTTTGTTTGAAAAGAGTTGTATTTATTTTGTTTTCATTGTGTACCAGTCTTATAAAAAGGCTATCTTTTTATTTCATTGTAACGATCAAAGTTGTAATGAATGCAGCAATGAATACAGCAACTTTTTCCGCAAACAGACTGATGCCTACATAAATGACTTGCTATAGTTTTCTATTATCTCCCATATTGAACTTGTGTAAGTTGCATCATCGTGCCACTAGTTTACCTTCACTTGAGAATGGCGCTCTGCGTTGTCACACTTGTTGCTGATCAGATTATAAGATAATATGGAACAAAAATAATTGAACAAGTAACTGTAAGTTGAGGGCAACCTTATGGAAGCCGTACATCATTTAATAATGTACCATGTATTTCCATGAAAACTTTGAGGTGCTAAACCTCGGATGTGAATATTGTGGACTGCCATTAGGTGCAGCAGTTACTTGCTAGAGCTAAGAACGAAAGAGGAAATGAGACTTGGCAGTAGCATACACTAGGAATAATTTTTCAACTCGAGCAATGAGTTTTAAAGACTAATCAGTTATAACAACTTATTTAGATTGTCTGTGGGGGTTCTTTCACTTTAAATTAAAAAAGAAAAAAAAAAGGACAAAGAAGGTTGTCTGTGGGTAGTTTCGCTATGTCCATGACAAATCAGTTCTGCAGTTTATTGGAATTTCTTGTTACATGACATGAGTAATTTCTTGTTACTTGACATGAGTAATTGAGAGTATCATAATAAACATACACATTTGATTTTGCAGGTCAAAATGTTGGATCTGTGAAACAATCATCAACAAAAAGAGTGCACAGCAAAAGTAGGGTGGAGACAAGGTCAAAATGTTGGATCTGTGAAACAATCATCAACAAAAAGAGTGCACAGCAAAAGTAGGGTGGAGACAAACCAAATTCGAATCGAATACCGCAGAATCATCAACAAAAAGAGTGCACAGCAAAAGTAGGGTGGAGACAAACCAAATTCGAATCGAATACCGCAGTATTTGTATTCGGTCCCTTTTCGACTATTCAGATTTGTATTTGAATTTGAAACCAACAGGAAATCAAAATTAAAATTCGACTCAGATAGTATTTCGAATATTCGATAACTATTCGCGAATATTCGTTAACAATGTTTGTGTGATCTTTGCAAATTATTCGGTCCATATTCATTAGATATTCAACAAATATATGTTATCATTTTCTTGCAATAGAGCCAAACATGATACACCTGATGAATATGCAACGTAGTAATATATAATATTCTCAAATAAAAATTCATTTATTTATATTTACAAGCAGCGAAATAAATTTTAATGACTAAACTATACAAATGAATAGTTGGTTAAATAAACAAATCGAATATACCTATGGTTAATTTCTATTCATTTATGAACCAAATAATAAAGATTATTCATTTATTATTAAATGAATAATCAAATAGATTATGACCAAATACCAAATAGAAATCTAAATGTTTGTTAAATATTTGGTTCATCTCAGCCCCTAAGCACAAAAGTGGTGAACTAGTAGCCCCAAACTCCCCCAAAAATAGTTAGTGGAAAATCTAAAATAATTAGTGGAAAATCTTGGAATAAGTTCGCGCTACGCTATAAAAGATTTGATCTCTGAATCAATCGCTCCAAAATCAACAATGCGCTATTCCAACTAGAATCCACGGTAAGAAAACAGGAATACGAGTTTATCAAGTCCAATTCCCATCGGACAACAAAAAATGTCAAACGCTTTACACCAAACCCAATTGCTTACTACTTAAAACCAAAAGGACATCATCAAACCATTTCATGCAATCATCTTAGTCATGCTATTAAACACCACATATAAAATAACGAAACCACAACTTGAAAGAAATACGAGTTTCTCAACTCTTTAGCAATTAAGATAACTAGACAAGATCTTTCTTACCCACCCGTAAAGTTTTAGCATAAAATCCATAGAAGAGGCTCCCAGCTACACCATAAGACTCCATTGCGAACATAATATATCATAGATACACTACAACCAAGCTCTGTCCAATGAGCCAAAATAACATAACAATATGAACTGACTAAAAGAGACCATATTGTTGGGGATTCGAAATAATCAAATCAAATCCGTACCCTTCCGGATCTTGTGTTTGAGAGTTGAGCAAGAAAGAAATTCACCACAAATCAAAGATAAAAACTTGTAGGAAAGTAAACAAGAAAGAACACACCAGATTTAACGAGGTTCGGCAACGTGCCTACGCCCTCGGGAGCCACACCACACAATTCTTTGATTACTTCAAGAAGATTACAATGCTTGCAATTGGCCTCTCTCTCTCTAAGATTTCTAACCTCAAAGAGCCATCAAAACCCTCTTTTTTTCGTGCTCTTTTTCTCTCTTAAACCCTAAAGGGACGTGTTTCTATTTATAACAAAACACAATCCCAAACAGTGTAGAATTCTAAAACGAGTCTGCCACACCCTGGTGTGGCGCATACCACACTCATGACAAACAGGGCAAACTCTGCAACACCCTGGTGTGGCGCAGACCACACCCATGGCAGACAGGGCAGATTCTGTCACACCCTGGTGTGGCGCAGACCACACTCATGGTCTGTCTTGAATTTTCATGCAATTGTTGATTTTGATTCTAGGTTTGGGTCTCCACTCTCAAGACATATCTCAGAATCCCCTTCTTATCCTTCGCAATCTTCCCCTCCCTTGCCCCTTGGTCCCAACTTCAGGTCTCACAAACTTTGCTTGGGTCCCTAACTGCGCGATTTGAGTCGCTTGGTCCATGCTGTAAAATATGATTTAACATGCATCAACATGATTGCAGAAATAGAAGCTACACATTTACACTATGTCATATTCAAGAACTAGTGTTTTTCATGCAATAAGAGCCTTTACTACTCAAACATATATCCCAAAAAGAATTGACATTTTGAACGAACTTTTTGACTTTTCTCCAACCAAAATAAAATGGCTAGCATAACAAATCTTGGCAATGGTATTTTGTTCAGAACTGTGCAGTTAGAATCATGACAGTAAAAATTAAATACACAGACAATCTTCATAACCACATCTCAATAACAAACCTATCCAAATAAATCATACTCCCTTTAAAAGCACGAGTTCGGAAAATCTTTTTTAGACAAATATACCCCTTTATAGTTTGAACTACCTTATCTATAATCAAATTCTAATTTTTAATGGTCAATATTACCCTTCACTATTTTGAATATTTTATTTATATCTTAATCTATCCTAATCATAATCATATCTTATCCTAATCCTATGTGAACCATGTTTAGCTTAACAATTTAAAAAAACTAATATTAATAAAATATATAAAACATAAAAATGATATTAGTTTGTTAAGATAAAGAAATTACAAGTAGATAACATATTATAATACATAAAGTATTGCAAAAAAACCATAAAAAGTTTTAAAATTGCAGAAAAGATCCTGAAAAGTTCAAAATTATAAAACTCATCCAAATGTCTCAAAACTTAAAATAAAAAATATGAAATTAAAAAATTAACATCAGTTTTCAAAGAATTTAAACTTTACAGTTAACACCTCAATGTCTCAAAAATTATAGAAACACCCTCAAAAGTTTAAATTACAGACAAGCACATTAAAATTCTAAAATTTTAAAACTTACAAACAACACAGATGAATTCAAGAGATTACCATGATACACCTAAAATTTTTGACATTTAAATTTAAATTTTTTAATTAACACCCTCAATATCTCAAAAATTATAGAAACACCTTCAAAAGTTCAAATTATAAAAAGCCACCCTAAAATTCTAAAATTTGTAAATAAAATAAGATGAATTCAAGATATTACCCTTAGACACCTAAAAAATTAAAATTTGCCAAAATTAACCTCAAAATTTTTAAAAAACTCCTTCAAAATTTAAAAATCGTAAAAAAAACTCTAAATTTTCAAAATTTTTAACTAGCACACATCAAATTCGTCGATTGGTAGACCGCTAAAATTTAATATTTTTCAAAATTAATCTATAGTTTTAATAATTGCAAAAGACACCCTCAAAATTTTAGAGTTACAAGAAATATACTAACATTTAAAAAATTACCACCAACACATGAAACATAGAATTTACAACTACCAAACTTAAAAGTAAATTTTTTAAAAACTCTTTCAAAATTTTAAAAATTATAAATCACACCCTCAAAGTTCAAAACCACAAAAATGGGCTAAAATTTTAAAACTTGGCAAAGAAAAGTGTAATTGTTTGGTATTTTTCATATATATATATATTAAAATTTCTAATTTAGGGATTTACTATCCATTTTTAGCATCTAAGAATAGTCTAAGTTGATATTAGTAAACAAAAACAATAAGAATTGATTAAAAACATCTGGTTAATGGATAAAATTTTTAAAAATATTATAGATTAAAAATTATCGGCACTATATAAATTAAAATAATTTCATATAATTTTAGTAATAAGTTGGGGTAGCCAAAATACATTCGTAACATTAATTGATAGATGTTTAAATCCATAGAAATGATAAAACACTATAATATTATACCTTAGCATTAATTGATTTTAATTTAGAAACTTTAATCTTTGACGTTAATAATATTTATAGGGTAAAAGAATACAAGGAATTACATATGGAGAAACTATTAGAATATTTAGAGATAACTTTAAAAGAATTGAGTTATTTCCATTGCAAATGGGAAAGTGATGGAAATAAATCTAAAATTCAGAAAACGTCAATGAATCACTTGAATTGGCATTAACATAAGACATATCTATTAATGAAGCACTGAATGAGTTACATTAAAAAATAATTTAATAACTTTATCCTAATCAAAGAAAAAATCTTCATGGAAGACATAAGAAAAATTAGTAAGTATTCATAAATTTCATACTCTGTTCTTCAAATTAAATATTAATGTTATAATCTAAGAGAAATTGGTAATGAATAATGCAGGTATTTAGTTTAAATCTTTATGGAAAATGACAGGGATAGAGCAAATGTAATATTATTGAAATAACAGAAATTCTTATTGGATGCACATCAGAAAAATTTATTTTAGAGGAAAATAAAGAGATAACTTCTAATTTATTTAAGTAATAAATTAGGAACACAAAAAATTTTATATATATGAAATTAATATTTATTCTCATTGAAATAGAAAAAAAATCAAACTCTATATTTTGAGCAGTTTGTGTTGAGCATCATAAGTACATTTGACTTCTTTGTAAAGTTAAATGAGATGATAAAAAATTAACGAGCCCAGGAAAGATAATAGCATAAAAAATACAAAATTAGCCTGATGTCACAATTGATGTAGATGATGAAGACTTTAGAATTGTCCAAGAAATGATAAATGATAAACCTGAAAAAGGATTGATCTTAACTCAATAAAAAATAAAATAAAAGAAATAAAAACAATATTTTATAAATATTTTATAGAATAGTTTAATTATTTTGAGTGAAATTAGCAATCTTTAGAAGGGAGTTTCATAAATTTTTTCGGTACTTTTATATTCTTATGTGGATTTTTTTATCATATAAAAATATACTAGAGTTAGCATTAATCTTTAATTTATATTTTTTTATGAAGTCTATCAATGATTAGGAATAAACTTCATATTCTCTTTTGCATCGTTTTAACATACTTTAAATCAATCATTTTGCCATATTGGTTTTAAATATCCACCTTCCTTGTATAACACTATTTTAATATTTTTCACTTTGTAATGCTATACTTTCTCAAATAAAACTTAGTTTCATATCGGTCAAAAATAATATGAAAATTCAAATTATTTTTATATTATATTTGTTTTTTGTCAATTCAAATATCAACATGAAAATTTAAATTGGGTGTATCACATTTAAACAAACATAAAAAAGATAATCGGGATGTAAGAGTTTAAAGAAAAAAGTGAGCACAAACTGTCATAAATACTTAATCATGGTATTAAATCACGTGCATTGCACGTGTGTAAAAACTAGTCAGTCAAAAAAGAGAAAAGAATTGCTGGAAGAATCCTTTAGAAACGAACCCATCCAAGAAGGAGAAAATTACTGAGTCAAAATCACAATAGTTAATGCAATAACTCCAGAAATAGAACTGAGTTGACAAGAATAAAAGGTAAAAGAATTAACCTGTTACAAAAGAAACTAGAGAGAGAAAATCGAGCGAGAGGATTTTAAATAATGGGCTCCGCGACGTTCGTCGTCAGTGTCTTTGAAGTTCGCCATCATTAGAGTTGTCTCTTGAGGTTGTTAGCGTTTTAGGAGATTTAGGAGTTCAGCTTAGACTGAAAATAATGGGCTCCGCGAAGTTCGTCGTCAGTGTCTTTGAAGTTCGCCATCATTAAGAGTTGTCTCTTGAGGTTGTTAGCGTTTTAGGAGATTTAGGAGTTCAGCTTAGACTGAATATTCTGACCGAAGTTTAGCGGTTCGGTTCAGACATTCAGTTTTTAAAAATATGGTTCGGTTTAAAACCAAACTGATCGAACTCATTTGCACCAAATAAAACACTTCAAACTAAATCCATGTCTATTCCTAAAACTTATGCAGCTATTATTGTGGTAGTTTAACTCATATAAATACATCGAGGTCATTCTTTTTATCAATGATTCAACATGAATTAGGCTTGGCGACTTCAGTTCATAAATTGTGCACTTTAGAATTGGGTGGGCTTGGAACCAAATGTAAATCTTTACATGAAATAGCAATTGAATGTAGTGGCAAGAAGTTAAAAGTCTTGAGTCTTGGAAAATACTTTAAGCATTGTATTCATTTCGGACTACAATCCTGACATTAAGCAACACAAATAGAACTTTCCTATTTCCATTGGTATTTGAGGTCTTTAGGTAAGGGGGAGCATAAAACTTCAGGTTACATCATTTTGTGCAGAGTTTGGTCCAATATAAACCCAAACTAAGCTGACCGAACTGCTTTAGGATGGATTGGTTCAGTTTTGAATCATTAATGGTTCGGTATCGGTTTGTCAAAATTTGAACAAAATCAAACCAATCGACCGTTTGCTTGTCCCTGGCCAAGGCTCCTTAATGAGATAAAGCGGAGATGACCATTAAGATGAAAAACTATTGGAATTCCACAAACCACCGGTACAGACAGGGTAATCAATTTAACAATTTTGGACTTCAAAATCCAGCCACATGAACAATTTGATTTTAAATGCATGCCCAAAAGAATGCCTAAACATGAGATTTGCATTTGTGCCACCCTAGATTTAAATCCAAGACCCAAAACCCATGTTCCCAAACAGACCCTAAATGTTTTTCAATCAGGTTTGAACTGCTCATGCATCTCATCAAATACCTGGTCTGCTTTTGCTAACATACTCCTTGTGGTAAGCACTCAACAAACAATTGACAGATAAAAGATCAGGACAACTCATTATTCTACACAGAAAACCCAATGAATTAAAGAATACTAACTACACATGGATCCATAGAGGAAAAATAATTGACAAAATCATGTGAGGACCTCGTTTGCTAAATCACTCACATTTTTAACAAACGGAGACTACTTAATAATCAAGGACATACCAGGTAAAGATAGTCTACCAAATAACACACCTTTATAAACAGATAGTTGTATGTCACTAGTCAAAGGTGAACCACTATATAGAATAAGAATTTCTTAGCCAACCTGTTCTCTTCAAGTAACAATGAAAACTCAAAAAATTCATTTAAATCAATAAAACGATATAATATTGCTTGTCTAAACTAGAAATCTAGCTTGGTTGATTCCATCCTTAGATGCAACTCTCAATGGGAATTCATTCACATACTCAATCTGACTTTGCACAATAAATTGCTCTATATGTCCAATTTGCCTTGCATACCCAGAAAAGCCAAACCATGTTTTGATCGAAACTATTGCATACTGAACAAGATGTAGAGAGTGATAAGAGGATTGAAAGGCTCCTTCTCCAATTTGGTATATGCATAAGGGTATTGGTCAAATTTTTAAATCTTGGTAATGAGTAGACTCCAGTCATGCCAATTAGACGCTGAATGATACGAGCAATCCCTTAATGCCACCAAACCATGTGAAGGGAGGACGTGCTGAGGAGGTGAAGGTGAAAATTTAACCATTGATATTATAATTATTGAGAATATAAGCTGATATGATAAGTGCATCAGATATTGAAGCAAATAGGGACAGTTCACAACATAAAGAGGCTATTATTTGTGAATCTTAAAAATGCACAAGCTTTTAGAATGAACATGTGTGTGCGTCCACACACCCTTCACAGACCAAGAAGATGGTAAGAAGGGGAAAGTAAGCATATTATTAGTTGCTCCGCCTCTGTCTCATTGGCAATTTAACTTTCATCGTAAGATCCCTCATACGCAACAAGCTAAGTAAAACTAGCCAAATTTCCGGTGACAACCATGCTTTCTTGCATTAAGAAAAGAGGAGAAAACTAAGAAGCGAACCATGCATGAATGCTCCTGTTCAAATTAAATTGACACGTCTCAACCAGGAATTGTACCTCTGTGGGCACTGGTGGATTAGTTGGTTTGGGCTTTTTCCTAAAGATTGGAACCTCATCGTCATCTTCGTCGTCACCAGGGACACTGGTGACCACCTTGGCTTCATACTGATCGAGCTCATTTGTGTCAAGATCTTTCGCCTCGAAAGTGATGTAATAGTTGAGAGGGCAAGCGACCTGTACATTACAGTTGACGATTCTCGTGATATCGAGATGGAGTTCCCTGGCACCCTGTAACAATAATAACAAGTTTAACAACTATTTGAAAGATCTCCTCGTAGATTCGTATTGGGGGAATAAAAAGAAGCAGCACCTCTTTCACTCTCTCTTCGTTTTGGCGATCGATGGCAAAGCGGGCATATTTAAGAATTTTCTCCATGCACACCGTGGGGAGATCATTTATATAGGGTATGATGAGACCGAAAGCAATAACATTAGGGAACTCAGGAACCTCAAATCCCTAAAGAAGAATATTTAATGAGGAGGAAGAAGAATAACAAATAAATCGGGACAATTAATTAGAACAATTGACATATTTTAACGGATTTTTAGGGGGTTTACATCGCTGCGCGTGACAGCTTCGCAGTAGCGATCCAGCTCTTCGTCGGTCATCATATGGAGACCATCGTTGTAGATCTCGTCCTCATCATCCTCAACGCCGTAGACACGTCTCCCCTCCTCTATCGTCACCGTCATCGTCGTCTTCTCTGACGTCATCTTAGCCTTCTTCGCCGGAGATTCAGGCACTTCATACGTCGCCGCCGTCGACATCCTCTAGCAAACCCTAACAACCCCAATTCTCTCTCTCTCTCTCTCTCCCCCCCCTCTCTCTCTCTCCTGCTTACTACTAGGATAATCTCAACTTATGGCATGTAGATGGTTACAGTAGCAGGTAGATGGTTATTGTTACTCAGTAGCAAACAATTTTAGCCTTCAACAATCTCTCACTTGAAGATTTGATTGAAAATTAATCATATCTTCACACCATTTTTTCTATCTTGTCATTGTCATGTTGTTTATGTCTCCGTCAAACCACAAAAGGATCAACACCAAACATACTTGTCAGTGCTGATTGTCTTCGTCAAAAAATCTGCTAGGTTATATTTAGTATGAATTTTATGCATATCCACTGTTCTTTCTTCCACTTTCTCACGAATGAAGTAGTACTGAACTCAAATGTGTTTCGTCTTTAAATGAAAAAGTAGATTTTTTGCCAAATGCAAAGTATTTTGACTGTCACAAAATAGAGAAATATTCTTTTGTTCATGCCCAAATTCCTTCAGTATCATTTTTAACCATATTACTTCTTTACTAGCTTGTGTAGCTGCTACATATTTTACTTCTGTTGTTGATGGAGCCACACCTGACTGTAGTTTTGAAATCCAACTTACAGCTTCGACAGAAAGTGCAAATACATAGTCTGTGATGGATTTTCTATTATCACGATCACCTGCATAATCAGGAACTGCTCATACATCTCATCAAATACCTGGTCTGCTTTTGCTAACATACTTAGCCTTGTGATAAGCACTCAACAAACAATTGACAGATAAAAGATCAGGACAACTCATTATTCTACATAGAAAACTCAATGATCGAATTAAAGAATACTAACTACACATAGATCCATAAAGGAAAAATAATTGGCAAAATCATGTGACGACCTCGTTTGCTAAAACACTCACATTTTTAACAAGCGGAGACTACTTAATAATCAAGGACATACCAAGTAAAGAAGGTCTACCAAATAACACACCTTTTATAATCAGATACTTGTATGTCACTAGTCAAAGGTGAACCACTACATAGAATAAGAATTTCTTAGCCAAACTGTTCTCTTCAAGTAACAATGAAAACTCAAAAATTTCATTTAAACCAATAAAACAATATAATATTGCTTGTCTAAACTAGAAATCTAGCTTGGTTTATGATTTTATCCTTAGATGCAATTGTCAATGGTAATTCATTCACATACGCAATTTGACTTTGCACAATAAATTGCTCTACATGCCCAACTTGAACTTACATATCCAAAAAAGCCAAAACAGGCCATGTTTTGATCGAAACTATTGCATACTGAACAAGATGTAGAGAGTGATAAGAGGATTGAAAGGCTCCTTCTCCAATTTGGTATATGCATAAGGGTATTGGTCAAATTTTTAAATCTTGGTAATGAGTAGACTCCAATCATGCCAATAAGACGCTTAATGATACGAGCAATCCCTTAATGCCACCAAACCATGTGAAGGGAGAACGTGCTGAGGAGGTGAAGGTGAAAATTTAACCATTGAAATTATAATTGTTGAGAATATAAGCTGATATGATAAGCGCATCAGAAATTGAAGCAAATAGGGACAGTTCGCAACATAAAGAGGCCATTATTTGTGAATCTAAAAAATGCACAAGCTTTTAGAATGAACATGTGTGTGCGTCCACACACCCTTCACAGACCAAGAAGATGGTAAGAAGGGGAAAGTAAGCATATTATTAGTTGCTCCGCCTCTGTCTCATTGGCAATTTAACTTTCATCGTAAGATCCCTCATACGCAACAAGCTAAGTAAAACTAGCCAAATTTCCGGTGACAACCATGCTTTCTTGCATTAAGAAAAGAGGAGAAAACTAAGAAGCGAACCATGCATGAATGCTCCTGTTCAAATTAAATTGACACGTCTCAACCAGGAATTGTACCTCTGTGGGCACTGGTGGATTAGTTGGTTTGGGCTTTTTCCTAAAGATTGGAACCTCATCGTCATCTTCGTCGTCACCAGGGACACTGGTGACCACCTTGGCTTCATACTGATCGAGCTCATTTGTGTCAAGATCTTTCGCCTCGAAAGTGATGTAATAGTTGAGAGGGCAAGCGACCTGTACATTACAGTTGACGATTCTCGTGATATCGAGACGGAGTTCCCTGGCACCCTGTAACAATAATAACAAGTTTAACAATTATTTGAAAGATCTCCTCGTAGATTCGTATTGGGGGAATAAAAAGAAGCAGCACCTCTTTCACTCTCTCTTCGTTTTGGCGATCGATGGCAAAGCGGGCATATTTAAGAATTTTCTCCATGCACACCGTGGGGAGATCATTTATATAGGGTATGATGAGACCGAAAGCAATAACATTAGGGAACTCAGGAACCTCAAATCCCTAAAGAAGAATATTTAATGAGGAGGAAGAAGAATAACAAATAAATCGGGACAATTAATTAGAACAATTGACATATTTTAACGGATTTTTAGGGGGTTTACATCGCTGCGCGTGACAGCTTCGCAGTAGCGATCCAGCTCTTCGTCGGTCATCATATGGAGACCATCGTTGTAGATCTCGTCCTCATCATCCTCAACGCCGTAGACACGTCTCCCCTCCTCTATCGTCACCGTCATCGTCGTCTTCTCTGACGTCATCTTAGCCTTCTTCGCCGGAGATTCAGGCACTTCATACGTCGCCGCCGTCGACATCCTCTAGCAAACCCTAACAACCCCAATTCTCTCTCTCTCTCTCTCTCCCCCCCCCCCCAATTCTCTCTCTCTCTCTCTCTCCCCCCCCTCTCTCTCTCTGCCCCCACTTTAAATAGTAATCACGGTCACAATGACATTTTTGCATATTAGTGCCTCTCATTTGCTATAATTCCATCCCATTCGTCAAATCCTTAAAGTTGGTCACAAGTCCCTCAGACTCCAAAGCGTCTTTGCGAATCGGTCCCTCAACACCAAAATGTCCCCTCATCTCAATAGGGGCCCTCAAGGGACATTTGAGTCAGACCCTTATAAAGGGTTAGGGGGTGTTTGTTTCAAATCTTACAATTTTAGGATATAAATTTTATTATAGGATTTAAAATCCAATAGGAGGCCCTCAACACCAAAATGCCCATCATCTCAATAGAGGGCCCTCAAGAGACATTTGAGTCAGACCCTTACAGAGGGTTAGGGGGTGTTTGTTTCAAATCTTATAATTTTAGGATATGGATTTCATAATGGGATTTGAAATCCATAGGTTTTTTAACATGGGTTGGGATTTCTAAAACTCTCATAGGTAATCGGCTTTTATTATATAAATGCCAAAAGCCGCCAAACGCTAGCATAGATTAAAAGTACTATGTTTTCATCCTTAATTCTCCAACAATTTTGATGACTCCAACAAATTAAATGCTAAAAACCACTGTTTTCCAACTAGTTTATGTTCTTACCGAAAACCCCTATAGAACAGTGGTTCATCTAAGTCGATGCTGCCACCAACTTGTGCTGATCCTTAATGAAGCAATTCAAGCCATAGCACAACCTAGGGGAACCCACCATTTCAACCAATCCTCACATACTATGGAAAAATTCTTCTTCACTCTCTTTTCTTATGACACTTTTGAGTCATACGTGGGGTCCTTCCTACAATGCACATATGGTGCCCATCAGTTCCCACCTATGTTACATGGGCACTTCAAATAGGAAGCAGTACCCCTACCCGACACACACCCATACCCATACCCGTGTTGAAACTTCTTGAGTATATGCATATGTTTATTCAGGCGTACACTCAATTGTATAATACATGTTTTAATTTAGAAAATATACTTCTTGGAAGTGTATTCTACACATCTTTTTCTGTATATTGATTTAATGTAAACGAAAAAAAAACAATATTGATCTTATGTAAATTATTAATTTTAATGCATATAAATATACATAACATATATAGATATAGCTGTGTCCCTGTACCCTATGCTTTACAACTTTGATGTGTCTTGTACCCGCAGCTGTATCGGTATCCACACCCGTGCCCATGTAACTTAGATTCCCACATTCTCACTGTCTTTCTTCATCTTTCGCCAGTTTGAAGGTTGCAGATTGCAGATCCAAAGAAGTACATATCTCTGATTTTGCATTTAAATGTTTAGCAGAATGAACTCATGAGACTGGCAGAACCAAGTGAGATGTCATAAAGATAAAGCTCGCAAATTAATGTATATTGCAGCATAATCTTATAAGATAAACAGACATAAAATCAAAAAGAATTCTCAATGCAATATCATGGCAGTTACTAATAGACAGCCTCAACTATTTAGGTGATGGTATGAAGGTAAAAGAAAAAAGTAATAGGTTGATCACTGAAGTTCATAAACAAGATTTGAAAAATTGATAGGACATGAGACTCATGATATGTAAAATGAATCCAATAATTTAATACGCAACCAAACAGTTCCTAATACAATTGGTTGAGGTTTCAATTGATTATGAAAACAAGGTTTAGCAAGATTACAGGCCCTCTGATGTTCTAAATTAAGGAAGTCATCTGATATCCATAATATAGCCACTGTCAAATATCATGATCCCACAAAACTGGTTTTACTCAGCTTCTGTAAGGAAAAAAAGGATTAATCCAAATATTGTTAATAAAGACATTCCAGAAAAATATCAAAACCATGTGTATGTGCATAGCCATACACGTGTATAGACATACATAAGCACCCACATGCACAGATGTACAAGAGCAAGCACTCTCACGTGCATGCATTAGCACATGCACGCACAAGGAATTTGAAGAAGACACCAGTAGACATAGGAGAATTCATGTTATTACCTTATTGAACGATAATAGTTCAAAGAGGGTACCATATCAGGTATTGTTATACTAGATCTTTCTTCTAATACATGTGGATTATGAGTATGAGGGATCTCAGCTGATTAGTCTACAATTTGCTATGTTTGGAAAGAGAGCTTGTTTTTCAGTACACCTCTTGTGATCAGTTTAAAATGTTATTTGTGTTATACTTATCATTCACAGTAGATAAAAATAAGCATAATGTCGCATTTTATCTTTAAGTGTACTTATCTCTTGGTGAATCCCTACTGTGTTTGTCTTTATTACATCTTTCAAGATTGCCCCTTCATGCAATATTAACATACTGAGATGTGGGGAACCTAGGTTGCCGACCTTCATCTTCCTAATATTGATCATTTTTATTGCCTTATTAATGCTAGTTTGCTTGTAATCAGAAAATATTTGGATCAATATTTGCTACCTTGTGTTTGATTGAACAAATTCTAAGATTAGCAAGTTGAGCACTGTGTTTATTTGGGGAGTAGAATACATTTTCAAGGCAAATACCATGCAATTAGGCATAAAAATTATCAATAAGAAAGAAGGATTGTTTTGTATATACTGAGATATGGAATGAAGAACACAAAAGCGATAAAAGCATTCTTAAAACTAGCAATTCCAAATAGACATGTAATATGTTATTATGTGGCTAAGATTAGAAGAAATGAAAGTGAACAGTCGTGATGAATAGTTCAGAGGTTTCAGAGGTTCAAAGAACAATACCTGCATGTTTCAAGATATACTAGAATTATTCGAGGCAGCGCCACATGCTTTGTGGTAATTTATGATTGCCATCTTGTAGATGATCTACCATGTATCTTCATAAATAATAAATGTCATTGGAAACCTGTATTGGAAACCTGTGATAATGCAGTGTGCATGTTTCACACAATCATAAATTACCACAAAGCTTGTGGCGCTGCATCGAATAATTCCAGTATATCTTGAAACATGCAGGTATTGTTCTTTGACCCTCTGAATCGAGGCAGCCCCAAAATCCTTTTTCCTCAAATAAACAAAAGGATGGGATCGCAACAAGATCCCAGTACAGAGCTTTAACTCAGCCTGTTCTGGTCGGATACAACTTGGGGGGATTACACTATCCTAAGCACTCTTTTATTCTTTGGTTAGTTAATCACTCCCGACTTCTCACTCAGGAAAGGCTGTGCCGATTGAGAATACTTGACACAAATCAATGTGTCCTGTGTTCTAGTCATTTGGACAATTGCAGGCATTTGTTCTTCGAATGTCAGTACTCGGCTGATGTTTGGAGCAAGGTGATGGACTGGATGAGATTCACATGGAGATCTTATGTCTGGAGTTAGCTCATTAACTGGTATTCGTACAATCTAAAAGGGAAGGGATTCATGAAGAATTTGAAGAGAATGGCTATCTCTGTTGCAATATATTCAATCTGGCAGGAGAGAAATGTCAGAATCTTTCAAGGGAGAGCTCGAGGGACGGATATGCTTTTTTGTGCAATCAAATTTTCCATTTATGCTAAAATTTTGAATGAAATGTACATGTTCATATGAAAGATACATTGGAGAGGATGTAAATTTTTGTTACTAGATTACCAGGTAAAATCTGTTACCAGGTAAAATCTGGTATTTTGATGTACTGCACAATTCACATTTGGAAAATGAATAAAGTTTAATTCATTGACCAAAAAACAAGATCCTAGGATGGACTATATTCAATCGTTCCTCCAGTTATGTAAGAAATGGGAAAACAACAGGTGTGTTCATAATTCTCATAGCCTACAACACCACCACCATTTGTTTCACGTCCATAAAGGTTCTAGAACATTTTCTTTCTAGTTAGAAACATACCAGGAATTATGGAAAAGAACCTTCTGATATGTTATATGTTATATACCAACAGTTTGCACAAATTGCTGCAAAAGAATTCTAGGATATACAGCTTAGTAGACAACTCACTTTGTTAGCTAAATACAATATTACAATTGAATAGGAACAGAACATCTGGCATCTTGTTGATCAAAGTTGGAAAAGCAAACTGAGATGGCCAACAAACTCAGATTTTTCAACCTGTTAATGAACAAGAAATGGGCACCCGCTAAAATGAAGCTCAAAAAATCTTCAGCACAAGCTTACAATCTTTAATAGAGACTTGAACGGATGTCGGATATAAAGATTCCGCAGCTCTTTTGTTAATCATAAAACTGCGGTGTTGACTGAACATACAAGTCACCTTCATCATCTTCGTCTTCATCATCACCTGCATCTACCCAATTGCTTGGGTGATGCTGCGAATAAGGATTGCCATTCACCTCAGTTCCACCTGCATGGAACAGAGGTAAATATTGCTGACTATTGCAATAAGGTATTGAAACTTTGAAATATGTCTATAACGCTAGTTAACCTTGAGGTTCACCCGGATGATCGGTTTCCATGCATTGTCGTCTACAATACTTAGTCAAGGTGACAAGCTGCCAAAAAATTTCATTGGTTGGTTTGATATATACCACTTACCATATGAAAGTAACATGCAAAATACGAGATTATACAACTCCCCATTGGAATAAGAACTTATAAAAGCAAATTTAGCTGGCCATATTCAGATGTTTACGAGTTGTAATGTAATAAATGATCATATCTGCGTCTAGGGCAATTTCAAAATAGGCTGGTCAATAACATCATAATAAAAAAATTCCTGTCTAGAAAAACTAGGAAAACAGGTCATAATATCATCAAGCATAAACCATATGGAAGTCATTATTATTTTTAATTTGTCTATAATCATTAGAAAAGGTTAACTTCGTGATATATAATACTCTCAGCTAGCAGTAGAACTCAGACTATGGATATATTTAAAACTGTCTAAATATCAAAAATGTAATTCAGGTTATTCACATGATTAATCTAAATTTAAGTCCTCTTGTGACTAGTTTCCACATGATTCTTATCCAATTCCTATTTCACAAAAATTGCTAAACATAAAAGTGCAAGACTTGTTAAAATGTAGTGCTCTGTACACTTCTGTAGAAGATGGGAGAATTTTATTGTCAAAGACACGATCCAGTTTAGGAACAACAAAAGTACACTATCATGATAATTCTTTTCAACAAACACAGCCGAAATGAAAATCCAGAAATCAGATAGCATATGCCATACCAATTTATGAGCGTATTGAGTTGAACATGATTCAAAACCATATCTTATAATCCATTGGAGAAGGTAACATATGCTCATAAAGATTTCACCTAGTGGTTAATGCTCACATCTCATTTTCTAAATTGAGAGGTATCCAGCTAAGGAGTTTATTTTCAGTTGAGGAACATTATTACTGGATAGAAAAGCTGACAGCAGCATGCACAGAATCTAAAAGCAACGGAATTAAACTGCAGAAGATGTCGGGAAAAGAGGATATATCAGGATACGTATTAGGAGCTTCATCTCGTGCAGGCAGCTCCTTTGACGGATTCATCATGTCTGGCATTGGCATGTCATGCTGCACAGTTGGATTTCTTTCCGCTTGAGCCGGCCTGCTTCTGTTTCCGTCAGAGCTTCTAGCAGCACTTCCTGCTTAGAAATGAAAGTTGGATGAGACAGAGAAGGTTGTGCTAACATCAAAGTCAGGGTTAACTGCAGATAGACACCCTGTATTGTTGCCCAATTGTGGATAGACCCCTTGCAGTTCTAATGTCCAGACAGATTCCCTCAGTAATATTTTGACTCTTTTACCCTCAGAGAAAGCATTTTTTTGGTCAAGTGGACCTTCTGACGGTAAAAGAGTCAAAGAAATTCATTCAGGGGGCGATCTGCAACAATAGAACGACATGGGGTCTATCCTCACTTGGGGGATAGTACAGGGGGTCTATCCGCAATTAACTATTAGAGTTTATACTTTTTCATGCAGAAAAGGCACCTGAAAGGTCAGACCAGATCTTGGTGTTATCGGAAGGATGCTCAGAAACTGCTGGCCCGATGCCAGATCTACTTCTTTCCGACTGCGAAGCATTTCCTCGAGTATTTTGGGCATGAGGTACTGAAGCAGCTGGTTGCTGATCTGTTACAATCCCTTCAGCAATTTGTGAAACAAGCATAGTAGCAAGCACAAGAGTTGCATCATAGTCTGAGTTTGACCCATCATCAAACCCAAATCTTGGTGACATTAATATGGGTCTGCAAAAACAGAAACAAATGTATTGATTGCATCATAACAACTTCTGTGAATTTTACAAGGAAACGTCTAAAATCAGTAAATGAAGGACAAATCAAACGGGAACTGTACAGCTTACTCGCCAGCTTTCTCGAAGAACAGGTGTATATCGACCTCACATCCTTCACAAAATGAAAGAAATGCCTAAAATGTACAAATGGAGAATATTAGGCAAGCAGGGCAAAAGTAAAATTCATCAATTGATAAAGGATGAGTAAATGTTAAGAGCAACAACACATACAAGGCTTTCGGCAAAATAAAATTAAGACAAGAAAAAACTACTGTTGATGTCAACTGGAGCGCATGGATGTTTCAGCTTTATAAGAGTGCAGATATAGCTTATGTGTGAGCTCCAACAGGTTTTTCCCTCCACATGTTAGCTTATGTACTATTTTATATCCTTGTTATTCGATTTTTCTGCATCAGGTCTTAAGATTGAGAACCTATGAGCTTCTAGTTTAATTTTCTGAACCAATACTGAGAGATTCACAACCTAGGATGGAGTTAGGATACCACTATTGGGCAAGGAATAAAACACATGCTGCTACTGAATAAAAAGTGAGAACATGAAACATCTGATGCCATTGCTGCTAGTGAAAGGAATCATTTGATGTCACAGAATCGGTTCATGATGCTAACGGGTCCCTTGAGGACTGAAGATTGGGTTTGAAGACTGTCTCTTATTTGGTATATACCAAAGTCCTCTTTACTTTTACAGTTCTCAAGCTTAAAGTTCTTTACTCTGACTATTTACTTGTCCAGAGTTCAAAAAAATTTGAATCACCTTCAGTTCCTTCAACCCAAAAGTAACATCAACAGGATTGCCAGAATGTGTATACTGTAAAAACTCTTCAGCAGGGTCAATCCAGAGCTGTGTATGCAGTGCTGCATCACTATTATCTGCACATAGAAAATGGAAGAAATTTTTAACAGCCTTGACAACGTGAACACTCCTGATTACAACATCAATATACAAGAAGTTCACAAAGACAAAAAAAAAACCTTTAGTAGGATCAATATAGCTTCTCAACTCCACTGCCTTTCCCCCAATTTCTCCTGCAGCATCAGAAGGCATTGCCGAGGGCTCCGTAGCAATGATAGTGATCTCCTGGAGTGATGTCTGGAAATTTGACAGTAAGCGTGTCAACTCTCTAGGCTTCACAACAAGACTACTTGGGAATCTTCTTCGATCCAGGGACAAGTGTTGAATGTCAGGTTCAACATTGCAACTAATCCAATATGTCTTCTTCACACCTGAAAAAAGGAAAGACTTTTTCGGATACATACCTCCTTGGAAGAATTTAACTTTAAAATAACTACTCTCTAACTTGAATAATACGATTTACAGGTCTTTTAGGCCTTATACTTGTTTCCTTCGATTCATTTCCATCATTGATGACTTCATAAATTTATCGGGGAAACAATAGGTTGTGACACATGTTAAGAACTTTCCCATGAAGCTCCTAACTTCCACAATAAATTAGATACTTTCAACTCACTAAATCAAATGTCATCCTTTGTGACAAGGAGAAGTATTAACAGTTAGTATTTTCTTTTCTTACTTATCAATTTTACCTTTCCTTTTTACCCTTCTGAACAATATCAGATGATAAGACGCCTGAGTCCAGTATAAAGTTCCAAAGGCTTAGCAGACATTAACGAAAACACGTTACCTGCAATCTTTATTATAATCAAAAGGAAAATTGATATTTTTTTGGGTTATTTCTTCTGAAAGACCTCAAAGTATACATTATTCTTAACTTTGATGCCCAGAAGTTAACCCCCCCACCCAAAAAAAAAAAAAACTAATACCTCAAAGTTCAAATTGATTGAACTTTTCTTTGAGAAAATTTTTTCCTTTTTGCAGGATCAATGCAAGTAACACCTACTTTTTTCCAGCTTATCGATTAGAGAAAAAAGCTACAGGTTTTACAATGCCAAAGTTGAAAACTCGATACTCTCAAGAGATAATGTAGTACGACAACGACAAATGACTCAAAACAACAAATCGGGCAAACTATAAAATAGGGAAATCACCATTGAGGCACTGAAGCGTCCACTGGAGCTTGGACGCCTCGGCATCGGGCAAGACCGCAGAGAGTCTATCCACATTCGAGATCGGCGTTCGAAGAATCGAGCACACCGACTTCAAAAGGACGCTGCACTGAATCTGATCCGAACCGTTCGAATCGTTAGGTTGAAGGTGGAACGAGTCGAAGAAATCAGGCTTGAACGTGATCGATTGGTACGCAGATCGAGACGAATTGAGAGTGTGTAACACCAACTGCGAAGCTAGAGAGAGAAAGTTAGAGAGAGGGACTAGGGTTTAGAGAGAGAAAAGCTAGGGTTTGGATGGAGAGGGAGAGAGAGGGGACCTGAGACGGAGAGGCTTGGAGCACGAGCTCGGTGCCGATGCGGGCGAGGGAGGTGATGGAGCGATTGAAGGTCTTCAGGGCGTTCCCGCTCAACGAGAGCTCCATTTTTTTCCCCCAGCTGTTGTCTAGGTTTTTCTAGGGTTTAGGAAGGAAGTGATGGGAGAGGGAAAGGGCGGGAGGGATTTTGCACATGTGCCCCTGTACATTATGAATTTGTGTGATTGCTGACGTACTATTTTAAAGGGTAAATTTCACTAACATCCCTGGAATTCTGGTCGTTGCACGAGACCTCCTAAACTTTCTAAATTTGGTAAAACCTTCCTGAATTGCGGGGAGCTTTGCAAGAAGCTCTCACTGAAAATGGCTCTAAAGTCTTTTTCCCGCCATTGAGACGTTAAAGAAGTGAGATGAGATGTCTAAAAGCACTCTGTTTAAAAATAGCGTGAATTTGACAACCACCAAAGTAGTCACTTAATCCAGCGGACAAATCCAGCAATGTTTAACTGGGGGGGGGGGGAGGTGGGAAGCGGGGGGGGGTAGGACCGTAGGGGTTCTCACTTTTTAGAATAACAGCCAGACGAAAGTCAAGATTATGCTTAATTATGTTGTTCTCACTTTAAAAGGATTGTCCTTCATGAACTCTATGATACAAATGCTTTAGCATAACTCAATGCAACTAAGCAACAAGAACATTCAATTCAAATATCTCAAAGAGCATAATAAAATTTTCTTGAAAGCTAATATATAAATATCAGATTAAGATTCATGAATGTATTAAGATGGAGACAAGTATATATTACCCGAATATGTATAAAAAAAGCTTCAACTCCAAAAGAATCTCTCTCAAACGCTTCTTATTCCTCTTCCTTCATACTGAAAATAACATGTGCTTATATATCCCTAAAATCATAAGTAGAATTGTATTACGTGCTTGTTGGATTTAATCTAATAAATCTATTTGTGGGCACATATGATTAATCAATGTGTATTGCTATCTTTCAGGATAACCCACTAAAGTGATCAATTAAGTTGGGTTAATTTGGTATTTAAATAAGTCATGGGGTTATATGTGCAGATACCAGGTTGTAATTGTAATTTATTGAGGGGCTAAATTACAAAAGTACGTACAACATCTATAAATAAGGGGTTATGGTCCCTAACCTAGGGTTACATTCTCTAATTCTCTACACCCCCATCTAGCTAGAGAAATTCGGTTTTAGAGAGAACCCTAAGGTTAGAAGATCCAACACCCAAAATCAAGATCAAGCAATGGATTCAGGTATAAGCTTCCGCTCTTTTAGATCCTTGTTAATCTCTTTGAATTAATCATGGTTATATGGTTTTAGATCTCAAGTTTTGATTTAGATCTATCAAGTGGTATCAGAGCCACCTTGATTAATTCTTAGGGATTTAAGTTTTATTGGGATTTTGATCTTAAATCTCTGGTTAAAGATTCAATTTTTTGGGTTCGGATGAACAGTAAATATTTTTTTGCTTCGGATGAACAGTAAATTTTTTTGGGTTCGGATGAACAGTAAAAATTTTTGTTCGGGTGAACAGTAACGAAAAGTTTTCGGATGAACAGTAACTGAAAAATCGCCGGTGAACAGTAACTTTTTGGAATTTTTTTGGGTTTTTCTTTGATTTTTCCTTCAATTTTTTCCAATTCTGGATCTGTTTTGAAAATAAAAATCAAAGATTTTTTGTGTTTGACGGCGGCGGTTTCAGTTTGAAACCCTAAGGGTTCATGGCGAAAATCAAGGAGGTGGTTACCTCAAACGAACCTCGCGTTCGTTCAATTTTAACCGAGCTTCGCGCTCAACGAACCTCGCGTTCGTTCTAAGGTGAACCTCGCGTTCAACTCAGGTGAGCGTCAAGCTCAATTTTAACGAACCTCGCGTTCGTTCTAAGGTGAACCTCGCGTTCAACTCAGGTGAGCGTCAAGCTCAATTTTAACGAACCTCGCGTTCGTTCTAAGGTGAACCTCGCGTTCAACTCAGGTGAGCGTCAAGCTCAATTTTAACGAACCTCGCGTTCGTTCTAAGGTGAACCTCGCGTTCAACTCAGGTGAGCGTCAAGCTCAATTTTTTAACGAACCTCGCGTTCGTTCTTCAGACGAACCTCGCGTTCGTACTTCAGACGAACCTCGCGTTCGTACTTCAGACGAACCTCGCGTTCGTACTTCAGACGAACCTCGCGTTCGTACTTCAGACGAACCTCGCGTTCGTGCTTCAGTCGAGCCTCGCGTTCGAACTTCAGACGAACCTCGCGTTCGTACTTCAGACGAACCTCGCGTTCGTACTTCAGACGAACCTCGCGTTCGTACTTCAGACGAACCTCGCGTTCGTACTTCAGACGAACCTCGCGTTCGTACTTCAGACGAACCTCGCGTTCGTACTTCAGACGAACCTCGCGTTCGTACTTCAGACGAACCTCGCGTTCGTACTTCAGACGAACCTCGCGTTCGTACTTCAGACGAACCTCGCGTTCGTACTTCAGACGAACCTCGCGTTCGTACTTCAGACGAACCTCGCGTTCGTACTTCAGACGAACCTCGCGTTCGTACTTCAGACGAACCTCGCGTTCGTACTTCAGACGAACCTCGCGTTCGTACTTCAGACGAACCTCGCGTTCGTACTTCAGACGAACCTCGCGTTCGTACTTCAGACGAACCTCGCGTTCGTACTTCAGACGAACCTCGCGTTCGTACTTCAGACGAACCTCGCGTTCGTACTTCAGACGAACCTCGCGTTCGTACTTCAGACGAACCTCGCGTTCGTACTTCAGACGAACCTCGCGTTCGTACTTCAGACGAACCTCGCGTTCGTACTTCAGACGAACCTCGCGTTCGTACTTCAGACGAACCTCGCGTTCGTACTTCAGACGAACCTCGCGTTCGTACTTCAGACGAACCTCGCGTTCGTACTTCAGACGAACCTCGCGTTCGTACTTCAGACGAACCTCGCGTTCGTACTTCAGACGAACCTCGCGTTCGTACTTCAGACGAACCTCGCGTTCGTACTTCAGACGAACCTCGCGTTCGTACTTCAGACGAACCTCGCGTTCGTACTTCAGACGAACCTCGCGTTCGTACTTCAGACGAACCTCGCGTTCGTACTTCAGACGAACCTCGCGTTCGTACTTCAGACGAACCTCGCGTTCGTACTTCAGACGAACCTCGCGTTCGTACTTCAGACGAACCTCGCGTTCGTACTTCAGACGAACCTCGCGTTCGTACTTCAGACGAACCTCGCGTTCGTACTTCAGACGAACCTCGCGTTCGTACTTCAGACGAACCTCGCGTTCGTACTTCAGACGAACCTCGCGTTCGTACTTCAGACGAACCTCGCGTTCGTACTTCAGACGAACCTCGCGTTCGTACTTCAGACGAACCTCGCGTTCGTACTTCAGACGAACCTCGCGTTCGTACTTCAGACGAACCTCGCGTTCGTACTTCAGACGAACCTCGCGTTCGTACTTCAGACGAACCTCGCGTTCGTACTTCAGACGAACCTCGCGTTCGTACTTCAGACGAACCTCGCGTTCGTACTTCAGACGAACCTCGCGTTCGTACTTCAGACGAACCTCGCGTTCGTACTTCAGACGAACCTCGCGTTCGTACTTCAGACGAACCTCGCGTTCGTACTTCAGACGAACCTCGCGTTCGTACTTCAGACGAACCTCGCGTTCGTACTTCAGACGAACCTCGCGTTCGTACTTCAGACGAACCTCGCGTTCGTACTTCAGACGAACCTCGCGTTCGTACTTCAGACGAACCTCGCGTTCGTACTTCAGACGAACCTCGCGTTCGTACTTCAGACGAACCTCGCGTTCGTACTTCAGACGAACCTCGCGTTCGTACTTCAGACGAACCTCGCGTTCGTACTTCAGACGAACCTCGCGTTCGTACTTCAGACGAACCTCGCGTTCGTACTTCAGACGAACCTCGCGTTCGTACTTCAGACGAACCTCGCGTTCGTACTTCAGACGAACCTCGCGTTCGTACTTCAGACGAACCTCGCGTTCGTACTTCAGACGAACCTCGCGTTCGTACTTCAGACGAACCTCGCGTTCGTACTTCAGACGAACCTCGCGTTCGTACTTCAGACGAACCTCGCGTTCGTACTTCAGACGAACCTCGCGTTCGTACTTCAGACGAACCTCGCGTTCGTACTTCAGACGAACCTCGCGTTCGTACTTCAGACGAACCTCGCGTTCGTACTTCAGACGAACCTCGCGTTCGTACTTCAGACGAACCTCGCGTTCGTACTTCAGACGAACCTCGCGTTCGTACTTCAGACGAACCTCGCGTTCGTACTTCAGACGAACCTCGCGTTCGTACTTCAGACGAACCTCGCGTTCGTACTTCAGACGAACCTCGCGTTCGTACTTCAGACGAACCTCGCGTTCGTACTTCAGACGAACCTCGCGTTCGTACTTCAGACGAACCTCGCGTTCGTACTTCAGACGAACCTCGCGTTCGTACTTCAGACGAACCTCGCGTTCGTACTTCAGACGAACCTCGCGTTCGTACTTCAGACGAACCTCGCGTTCGTACTTCAGACGAACCTCGCGTTCGTACTTCAGACGAACCTCGCGTTCGTACTTCAGACGAACCTCGCGTTCGTACTTCAGACGAACCTCGCGTTCGTACTTCAGACGAACCTCGCGTTCGTACTTCAGACGAACCTCGCGTTCGTACTTCAGACGAACCTCGCGTTCGTACTTCAGACGAACCTCGCGTTCGTACTTCAGACGAACCTCGCGTTCGTACTTCAGACGAACCTCGCGTTCGTACTTCAGACGAACCTCGCGTTCGTACTTCAGACGAACCTCGCGTTCGTACTTCAGACGAACCTCGCGTTCGTACTTCAGACGAACCTCGCGTTCGTACTTCAGACGAACCTCGCGTTCGTACTTCAGACGAACCTCGCGTTCGTACTTCAGACGAACCTCGCGTTCGTACTTCAGACGAACCTCGCGTTCGTACTTCAGACGAACCTCGCGTTCGTACTTCAGACGAACCTCGCGTTCGTACTTCAGACGAACCTCGCGTTCGTACTTCAGACGAACCTCGCGTTCGTACTTCAGACGAACCTCGCGTTCGTACTTCAGACGAACCTCGCGTTCGTACTTCAGACGAACCTCGCGTTCGTACTTCAGAC